TATGGCACTGGACTCCAAGCTTCGCGCCGACATACCCGGGGAAGACGAGCCCGAGCTCAGGGCTCTTGTCGTGGCCTCACAGCTGGACTGGACATCAAGCGGATGGAGACAGCGCGAAGAGAAAACCGTCGTCCAAGACCCGGGGCAGATGCTACTGCTGAGACACCCGATTAGTGCCTTCGAGCGACACTGCCGGGCGTACATCGTGGATGTATTGGCTGCGCTTCGCTGCCACACGGATGTTCAAGCATCAGACGGAAGGGGCATGGTGCTGAAGTACTGCGCGAGTATCCTGGCTTGCATTAGGCCTTCTTCCAGTGATCCACGACATCACGTAGTCTTCTCAGATGCCTGTGATCTGAGTCCGAGGTTACCTACCCAAGTTCAGCAGCTCGTTCGCACAGGAGCTCTTGAACGACCAGGCCAGCGACTTTTCATTAGCTCGTCGTATCTTGGCAGAGTATCACCCTCTGCAGCCCGAAATGGTCCTGCAGCTGGCTGCTCAGCGACATCCGCAATTCCTCTGCCCCAGCGTTATTCGCAAATTCGTGGTCCCGATTCCCTGGGCGGCAGAGATGCCGCTGATAGTTCGTGGATATATGTCTTGTCCATGGCGAAGAGAAGAGATGAACCTTCTGGAATATCTTCGGAAATCTGGATCAGATGGGCAAATCTCTTGCAGATACCGGACGACACATAAGAATTCCCGCATCGAAATGCCTCTTTCGGAATGGATTAACGTGGTTCCCGTGGACGCGAGCATTCTCGCAGCTACCATTCTCTACAGTCGTTCTAATGATCAGTACTTCGGGCAATGGCTTCTATTGCACGTGCCATTTCGATGTCTAGATGATCTATGGAAGCCAGAAGCAGCACTACTCCCAGATAGCCTTCGATTCTTGGGACTATGCCTTTTACATCGTCCTAGGTTCTGGCGCAACCCCGATCATGTGGCATACGAACTGCAGCAGGAAGCCAAGCCAGATCTGCACATCAGCAACGTACTGTCAGAGCTGGCAGCGCGAACGGAGCTGGTCGACGACTATTTATCAGGCAATCTCGTGAAGGCCACCACCCCAGACCCGCCTGTATATGGGACAACGCAGTTGCCTGACGGACCTGTCAAACTGACGGTGGAACAACTGCGTGTCGTCCGTTTTTTGCGTGGCCGAGTCGAGGTGGCGTTGAACGCCAAATGGCCCGAAGACAACTCAGTAGACGCCTGGGACGTATGGCTGGACGACGCCAGCATCCGGCACAACCTCGTCTCGTGCATCCTCGGGCCCGCCGGGAGCGGAAAAACCACCGCCGTGGACATCGTGTTGGCGGAGGCAGCCGCACGAGGAGCACACATAGGCGTCGCATGTCCCACCGGCATGCTTGCGACGGGGTACAGAGCCCGACATCCAGGCCTAGACATAGACACAGTTCACGGCATGTTCGGGCTACATCTGGATGAACTTGCCACAGCAGAGATGATGCGTCCATACGATCTGGTCGTGATAGACGAAGTGGGACAACTACCTACATGGATTTTCGAGCGGCTTATGCGATTATGGGACGCCACGGATAGGCGAACGGCACTCGTCTTCGTCGGAGACTTTTGCCAGCTGACTGGGCCAGATGGAACCACTGCGAGACAGAGTTTCAGGTGGGCTGAGGTGCGCCTATCGACACTCACTGAAATGCGTCGCTGCAAATGCGCACAGCTGCGTTGGAAGTTGCAACTTCTACGGAGTGCAATTCCCTCCGGCCGACAATTGCGTAAACTGCTGCGCGGACACCGCGCGGGCATGAGAGTCCGGCCCGGTTCAGGATGGCCGACTGCCATGGACATTGCAGTCATCCTACAGGAGACCCCGGATACGACCTTCGTAACCATATCTCGTCGTGCTTCGGCTTATCTGAACAGGCTTGCGATTCGGGCTCTATTTGCGGATGCCGAGCCCCTAGGCCGAATCCCATGCGAACCAACCGACAATGCGGAGAACTTCGATGGACCCCATCAGACGAGTGCGGAGCCATGTATGATGCCTCTATACGAAGGCATGAGGGTTCGAATTACAAGGAATGCAAACAAACGACATGGTTTTGTCAACGGCATGGGCGCAGTGGTACAAAGGCTCCGCCAGAGCGGCGTGCAGGTAAAGACTGACGAAGGCGAGATCCTGCTCATCCACCCTATTACCACCGAGACCGCCCTCGCAGACGGAAGCATTCGCAGGGCAACAGTGTTCGCTCTTCGACCCGGATACAGTACGACCCTTCACAAGATACAGGGGGCGACATTGTCCCACGTGACTATATACATGGATGTTCCATATGTTCGTGCTGCATTATATGTTGCCCTTTCGAGAGTTAGACACGACGCTGACTGGAGATTCATTGGATCCATTCGAAGACAGCATTGCCTGCCGGCGGAGCTTGGCTAGTACAGTGCGACAGGTCTCTTGTGCTGCGGAGCGGGCAAAGCCCCCGCATGCCTCGACATTGACCCGGTCCGAGCAAAATGGACGAGCGCAGCTCATCATGCGTCGTTCTGGGTAGGGCTCAATCTTCGGCCTAAATTCTTGAGTGGCGTCCGGCCCAAAGCGCAAAATCCTAGAACGCGTTTCCGATACCCTAGAATCTTCTAAATCCTAGAAAGTTTCCTAAATCCTAGAGACCTGCGCGAAAGGGAATAACCCCGGGTGGGCCACTGGCCACATTAAAAACTACTTTTTATACAAAGAATTTATCACTCAAAAATCGGCCTTCAATTTCCTAATCCTTAAGACAGGCCTCTAAATCCTAGAACGCGCTTCCTAAACCCTAGAAACCTCCCTAAATCCTAGAAAGATACCCTAAATCCTAGAAATCATGCCTAAATCCTTGAAAATGTGTTCCTAAATTCTAGAAATCAGGCCTAAATCCTTGAGAACACGAACGAAAAGGGTCCATAACTTGAGACAGGCCTCTAAATCCTAGAGAACCGGCCCAAAGCGCCGCTAAATCCTTGAGACAGGTTTCTAAATCCTAGAGAACTGCCCGAAAGGGGGGGGACCCCGAGATGGGCCACTGGCCATATTAAAATCTACATTTTATGAAAAGAATTTATCATTCAAAAATCGGCGTTCAATTTCCGAAATCCGAGGCACGAAACCCTAGAGAAGGACGTCTAAACCCTAGACGAACCCTAAATCCTTGACCAAACATATTCCTAAATCCTAGAGCTCCCTAAATCCTAGAGCGCTAAATCCTTAAGACAGGCCTCTAAATCCTAGAACGCGCTTCCTAAACCCTAGAAACCTCCCTAAATCCTAGAAAGATACCCTAAATCCTAGAAATCATGCCTAAATCCTTGAAAATGTGTTCCTAAATCCTAGAAATCAGGCCTAAATCCTTGAGAACACGAACGAAAAGGGTCCATAACTTGAGACAGGCCTCTAAATCCTAGAGAACCGGCCCAAAGCGCCGCTAAATCCTTGAGACGGGTTTCTAAATCCTAGAGAACTGCCCGAAAGGGGGGGGACCCCGAGATGGGCCACTAGCCATATTAAAATCTACATTTTATGAAAAGAATTTATCATTCAAAAATCGGCGTTCAATTTCCGAAATCCGAGGCACGAAACCCTAGAGAAGGACGTCTAAACCCTAGACGAACCCTAAATCCTTGACCAAACATATTCCTAAATCCTAGAGCTCCCTAAATCCTAGAAAGGATACCCTAAATCCTAGAAATCGTGCCTAAATCCTTGAAAATGTGTTCCTAAATCCTAGAAATCGGGCCTATATCCTTGATTCCTAAATCCTAGAGCTCCCTAAATCCTAGAAGGGATACCCTAAATCCTAGAAATCGTGCCTAAATCCTTGAAAATGTGTTCCTAAATCCTAGAAATCGGGCCTAAATCTTTGATTCCTAAATCCTAGAGCTCCCTAAATCCTAGAAAGGATACCCTAAATCCTAGAAATCATGCCTAAATCCTTGAAAATGTGTTCCTAAATCCTAGAAATCAGGCCTAAATCCTTGAAAACACGAACGAAAGAGCCCGCAATCGCGGCATTAGGGTTACCATTATATGTCAGTACTGACTAAATCCCAATGCTTAGTGGTGGCACAGCTGAAAGCTTGATGGCACAGTAGAATTGCTGTTTAGGCATACTGTATGTGCGAATGCCATGCAGTCGCCTGACGAAGAGGTCGCTGCGGTCGGCCACATGGCCGACCGGCAAGCGCCTTAGAGTTTAGGGTTTAGGGTTTAGGGTTTAGGGTTTAGGGTTTAGGGTTTAGGGTTTAGGGTTTAGGGTTTAGGGTTTAGGGTTTAGGGTTTGCGCAAGGACCAGTAAGAGTACCCTCGCCGGTTGGGCGTCTGCGGTCGATGCGAATCTTTCGGCCTCGGAGTGTGTATGGCGGCACGGAGACTGGGGCCTTGTGTCGGCCGCGTCAGTTTTTTTCTCCCGCCCGCGCCGCTCGGGCGGCTCCCGCCCGTAACCAGCTCCGCCTTTTAGGGTTTAGTTTCCTAAACTCTGGTTTATGAAACAATGGTATTTTTTTTTTTCTGGAAGCGAGGCACTTTTCATATGAGCCCCAGGGTTTATCTGGATAGAAAAAGGAGATGTGCGGTCTTGAGTTTGATTTGAAGGGTTTGAGCTGGAAGGTCATCGCAAAGAAACTCGACAGCTGAGGTTGTTATCGTCAAGCGATGGCATGACCGCAGCTTCAGCTGTTGCTAGCAAAGCGAACTTTGCAAGTTGAACTATGCTTCGCCGGTCGAGAAGGTCTTTGGCAGCCTTCTTGGCGAGGGGTTGCAGCTTTTCGGTCATCGCAAAGAAACTTGACAGCTGTTGTTGCTATCGTCAAGCGATGGCGTCACCGCAGCCTCAACTGTGCGAAGCAATGCTTTCGGTCTTGAAACTGGAAGCACTGCCGTGGACACAGTCCGATGTGGAAACATTGAAAGACAGGAAATCGAATTCGATAGCTGTGGTTGTTATCGTAAAACGATGTCGTGACCGCAGCGAATGGAAAACTTCTGGATTGTTGTTGGGCAGCCACTCACGTCCAAGTTGACGTCGTGCCACGGAGCACAACAGCGCTGCGCAGCGGGCGAAGGTAGACCAATATCTCACCTGGAGCCGGAAGGTAACCCCATGAAGCGATTTCGTTTTGACGGCATATTACATGGGCAGTGTCGTTCTATGTTTCGGATGATGTGGTGCTGGCGCTATAGCAGAAAAGCGGAGGGGAAGGGGGGGGGGGGGGGGGGGGGTTCGGGCATAAAATTTGCAGAGCGCAAAAGTTGCACCTTCCAGTATCATCCTAGTAGCTTAGATGTAATATAGACGAGATCAGACAAAAACACCTATGTTTTGTGTGGAGGTCAGGCGCGTTTCGTTTGGTTGTTACGAGAGGTTACAACAGACGTGACGCGAGAGGCGAGAGAGGGATGGGGTATGGAGACAGGGTGGGGGGGGGGGGCGGCCAAGAAACGGACACACGAAGGTTCGACAGTCTAGATCGCGATATCGCTTCATGACAGCCCTCCCTAGGTTACGCTCGAGGCTGTGCCTAGACCACCCTCTAAACTCTGCTTAGCACACACTGTTGCGGCGATTTTTATAGCCTCAATCTCGGAAACTTGAGGATGCTAGTTGGCCACGCCGGTTTTTTTAGCAGACACTGTTGCGTTGATTTTTTCAGTGTCAATCTTGGAAACTTGAGGATGCTAGCTGGCCACGCTGGTTGCGCCCATGGAAAGTCGTGGATCAGAGGGTCACCAAAGCGAAAGGCGAGACGTGGAGGCAGCGCATTGAGCAACTAAAGCCAGAAGGGGTTTCTTTGCGATGACCGTTGAGCTGAAACCCTTCACCGCCAGGCCTCCAAAGACCTTTTCGCGCGCGCGCGCGCGCGCGTTGTTGGGATCCAGAGACTTCGCCTCCGGGGGCCTCTCGCCAGGCCGCTGCTTACATGTCGCGAGGCTCGTCTGCGGCATCTCGCAAAAACGTTTTTTTTTTGAAAATCCGAAGCATTTTCGAATGCTTCCACGATGACTGCTTTCAACGACAAAGTGAACTTGTGGTGCTCATACATCATCCTCTGCAAAGCAGCTAGGCACGTCCCTAAGCAAGGTGCGAACTCCAGCGAAACAAACACTCAATGCAAGCGTAGCTGGATATCGATCATTAACGACCTTCAAGTGAAGAACTCTACATCATTTGAGGTTCTTCAACGACTTACATACGTTCCGAAACGAAGCCACAGCCATCCAAGCAACAACCACGCAGAATCAAAACGACGCCTTCGCAGAATCACGGCGACACCCTTCAGCGGAGCACTGTGTCACACCCCGCGGGCCCTCGACCGGACGAGCCTACGTCATTTGAGCTCCTCTGTCTGTTTGCGCCCTTCCCGAAGATACCCTTTCAAACCAAAAATTTGGTGTTTGAAAGGGCCCGCGGGGCCAACGCAGAATCAACCCTACAACAGTTCACGCGGACCCTGCAATCAAAAGGGTAAGTTCGGGAGTGGGTTTGCGGACATAGTTTCACCTCCCCTGTCCATCTATGGCCCTCCCGCGGCTCCCCTTGAACACCAGTTTCCGCATGAAGGGTCGCAGAATGCAGAATCACATTCGCACACCCTTCCTGCGGTAAATGGTCTTCAAGGGGAGCCGCGGGAGGGCCATAGATGGACAGGGTAGGTCAAACTATGTCCGCAAACCCACTCCTGAGCCCACCTGAAGGCTTACAGTATCCCCATGAACTGTGTCAGATTGATTCTGCATTCCGCGACCCTTCATGCGGAAACTGTTCTTCAAGGGGAGCCGCGGGAGGGCCATAGATGGACAGGGGAGGTCAAACTATGTCCGCAAACCCACTCCCGAGCTTACCCTTTTGATTGCAGGGTCCGCGTGAACTGTTGTAGGGTTGATTCTGCGTTCTGCGACCCTTCATGCCGAAACTGTTCTTCAAGGGGAGCCGCGGGAGGGCCATAGATGGACAGGGGAGGTCAAACTATGTCCGCAAACCCACTCCCGAGCTTACCCTTTTGATTGCAGGGTCCGCGTGAACTGTTGTAGGGTTGATTCTGCGTTGCCCGCGCGGGCGCCCTCAAACACAAAATTTTGGTATCTTCCAGCGGGCTTCGGGAGGGCCGCAAACAGACAGAGGAGCTCAAATGAGGTAGGCTCGTCCGGTCGAGGGCCCGCGGGGGGTGAGAGAGTCATTCTGCGGAGCGTGTCGTTTTGATTCTGCGTGGTTGTTGCTTGGATGGCTGCGACTTCGTTTTGGAACGTACGTAAGTCGCTGAAGAACTTCATAGAGTTCTTCAATTCAAGGCCGTTAATGATCGATGTAGTTGCATATCCAGCTATGATTGCATTGCGTATTTGTTTCGCTGGAGTTCGCATCTCGCTTAGGCATATGACTAGTTGCTTTGCAGAGAATGATGCGTGAGCACCACAAGTTCACTTTGTCGTCGAAAGCAGTCATCGTGGAAGCCTTGCAAAATTCTTGCAATTTTCAAAAAAAAAGCGTTTTTGCGAGATGCTGAAGAAGAGCCTGGCGACATGTAAGCAGCTGCCTGGAGGAGTAAGGCGAGGCCATGACCCCCGGAGGCGAAGCTCGGCTTTGCTGCCTCTGACCCCCCAACAACGCGCGCGCGCGCGCGCGAAAAGGTCTTTGGAGGCCTGGCGGTGAAGGGTTTCAGCTCAACGGTCATCGCAAAGAAACCTGATAGCTGTGGTTGCTATCGTAAAACGATGGCGTGACCGCAGCTTCAACTGCCGGAGGCAATGTTGTCAGGCAGTGGACACAGTCCGATGTGGAAACATTGAAAGACATGAAATCGAATTCGATAGCTGTTCTAGGTGAGGAGGGGCAGCCACCCACGTCCAGGTTGTAGGCGTGCTACGGAGCAGAACAACACTGCGCAGCGGGCGAAGGTAGACCAATATCTCACCCAGAACCGGAAGGTAACCCCATGAAGCGATTGCGTTTTACTGCACGTCAGAGGGGCAATGTCGTTCTATGTTTCGGTTGATGCGGTGCTGACGCTATAATAGAAGAGCGCAGGAGGGGGGGGGGGGTCGGGCAGAAAATTGGCAGAGCGCAAAAGGTGCACCTTCCAGTATCATCCGAGTAACGTAGATGCAGTGATTTGAAGCGGGGTCTGTGTGGCTAGGGGAGTACATCAGGCGCAAAGTATACTTGCAATGTCAGAGAGGGCTCTGAATGGGTAGGGGAGTACACATATGAGTTTTTGCTGGATTCGTGACTGCAGCCCGTAGCGTTCCGACAGAGCACGGCACCACAGGAAACAATAGGTTCACGGGCATGTGGTTGTGAACCTATTGATTTGGCGACTTTGGACACCCCAAAAACGAGCATCACGAGCATCAGCCGGGACAGGGAGGCAAGATTCCTACGCGTAGAGCGATGCCACTGGAAAGGCTTTGATTGATTAAAACCAAAGCCAAAGTAAGAGAAACTTTTCGCTGGAAACAAACGAGCTACGCGTACACTGACGACGCTGAGAGGCCTTGCTTGTTGATCAGCAGACTTGCGCCGAGACGGAGGAGCCATTTAGTTGATCAGCAAACTTGCCCCGAGACAGAAGAGCCATTTAGTTGATCAGCAAACTTGCTCCGAGACAGAGGAGCCATTTAGTTGATCAGCAATTTTGCCCTGAGACAGAGGAGCCATTTAGTTGATCAGCAACCTTGCCCCGAGACAGAGGAGTTGATCAGCAAACTTGCCCCGAGACAGAGGAGCCATTTAGTTGATCAGCAAACGCGCACGCGCGAAAAGGTCTTTGGCTTCGTTGCTGGTGCTCCGTAGCGATGCAATAGCGTCATGGTTGTATGGCATGCGGATGGATGTCACACTTCCTTGTTATGTACACCAGTTCCAATGACATGAGAATCTTGTCTTGGCAGTCCCCGCATGTCCGCAAGTTTTCGGTTCCGGGTAACCCCTCTCACATTCGATTTGGCCGTTATTATGTGCCCTGGATAGCAGTGGGTGGAAACGTGAGACAGTGCACAGTCAGACTCTCAGGTCCCGAAGACACGGACCACACGATCGGTCTGGCCGGCACGCACGCCGGGAGGCACTATCCTTTTCCGGTATGTGGTTCCATTTGGAAGTTTCAGAATATTAGGGGGTACCTTATTTTGGGGTCCTTATAATAAGGATCCTATTATTTAGGGTACTATATTAGGGTCCCCTATTTTCTGAAACTCCCATTTACCATTAAGTAACTCCCGCAGGCCAGAGCTATCGTGCAATACGAGCACGTGGACCTAGGAGGAGACACTCGTTTCATGGGACGCATTGTGTAGCCAGTCACCGCGCGCTTGCACGAGGTTGGTGTAAACCAGAGCTCCACTGCTACGGTCACTACGACGGTTGGCCGTCTCAGCCGTCCACATGTAACATCCGTGCATCTCTGCATCCACCCCTGTGCTGCGGATCTGCAGGCCTCTGCTGCTGGTCGCGGCCCGGAGGCCGACGCGCAGGCGGACGCGGACCGCGTAAGCAGGTTTGCAGAGGAGAATATCAATCAGGGGAGGAGGGGCGGAATCTTCCCAGATCGTTGCGGGAGATAGTCCCCGCCATCTTCTACGTCTGGCAGGCGCTTCATGGGATCTAGCAGCGAGATCGGCCCCGTCGCATTGCCGTAGGC